GCTCTCACAGGGGGCAGAGCAGGTTACAGGACACGGCAGAACCAGGGGCTGGTCCCTCATCCAGCGCAGCTTCACTGAGCGCCAGACGCATGAGGACCGTGCCCCACCCCAGCCCAGTCACTGCCCGTGGGTTGCCCTCGGGGCTCCAGCTCCAGGGCACCTGCAGGCAGCTGGGACCAGGCCAGCTCTGGGCCAACGGTGGCCCCATCTAAACCCCAGAACCTGTGAACCCGACCTTGTTTGGAGAAAGGATCTGGAAATGAGATCATCCTGGATTATCCATAGCTGAGCCCTAAATCCAATGGTGAGTGTCTCTACCTAGAAAAGGCAGAAGAGAAGACATACAAAGAAGAGGAGAAGGTGCTACAGGCTGAATTCATCCCCTCCAAAATCCACACTGGAACCTAATCCCCATTGTGGTGGCATTAAGTGCCACCAAGGACATGGGCCAACAGGAAACTGTGTGGGTGAATGGCTTTGACCCCTCTGGGAACTGCTTGGCATCATCTGATGAATGTAAAGACACACATGATCCCGGATCCAACGGCTCCACTTCCAGATTGACCCAAGAGACTCCTGCCCACGTGCCCCAAAGAACATCCCAGGAATGCCCACGACAGCTTCATCCCTAGTTGCCAAGAAAGGGAAACCGCGTGGACAGGCGCCTGCTGCCAGTATGGTGGTCTGAGGGACAGCGGGCGTCCCCGCGAGAGTGTGGGCAGCATGAGCGCGAGTGCCTGGGGCTCCTTGATGCAGTGTGGACGGACCACTCGCACGCACTATTGACCATGGTGAGCCGGCACAGCAGAGTGCCCACTGCGTGGCTTCTGGTTAAACGTTAAAAACACAGGCAAAGCCAGAGCACAGTGCTCAGGAATTGGTGATTCGATGAGAAAACGGACAGTGAGTAAGACCCCATCCCACTCCCGGAACACGAAGACAGGCAGCCCACAACAACTGGCACTAGAACTGCAGGTGGACTGTGCCAGGTGCCAGCTGGGGCCCTCACAGCAGGCGGCCTGGGGACATGTAGGCACTGGCAAAGTTGGCAGGAACAACCCTGGTGGGAGGTGAGGCTGAGATGAGCTTCACCCCAGTGGCTCCGCCCATGGCCCAGGCTCCTCTGGCACTGAGAAGGCAGAGGTGCCACCCCGCCGAGAAGCAGAGGAAACCGGCACTTGGGCAGTCTTAGGAGAAGCGGGGGCTGTGTGCACAGAGGACGGACGCCCCAGAAGCAGCCACGGTGGCCAGGTCACCTGTGAGACGCCATGGGTGGGAGATGCAGGTGGCTGTGCAGCGGTGCCCTGGGCTCAGGGGGAGGGGCTGGGTCAGGTCCCTGGGGCTGGCTGGGGCCTGGACATGGCTCCCTGGCCCTGAGGCACCAGCAGCACTGCTGAGTGGGTGGGACTGACCTGGTCTGTTTCTGGGTGGGGATCCAGTGTGAGCGGGTGAACGGCGAGTGGCAGCCATCGGCATGGTGAGCTAAGTACACTTGGCACACCACTGTGGGCCAGGAAGGTGTGTCACACACTTCCTGACAACGCAGAGGGTGCTGGGAGCTCGCCTGTGTCAGACGTGAGGGCAGTTGGGCCAGGGCCTGGGTTTGAAGTCACATCCAGACCCCATGTAGCAGGACGAGCCATAGACAAAACTCCTCAGACATCCGATTAAAGAAGGAAGAGGTTTTATTCGGTCAGGAGCGTCGGCAGACTCACGTCTTAAGAGCTGAGCTCCCTGAAGACAGAGTTCCTGGCCTGTTTAAGGGCTTACAACTCTAAGGGGTTCCACGTGAAAGGGTCGTGATAGATTGAGAGCACATGTGGTTAGAGTGGGGGGTTAATCTTTTAACCTCAGGCCTGGTCATCAGTGGCACCTGCTGGTCTTGCC